CTCTCTCTCTCTCTTCCTCTCTCTCTCCCTTTTTCCCGTTGATCGGCCGTTTACTCCACGGCGCGTTCTCTCTCGCCCGGAGGTTGTTACCTCGATGTAAGGTAACTTACTTTTCCCCTTCCCCGGCTACCCCGGTTTTGGGGAGCTTTCCACCACCATGTGGAGACCGGGTAACCACCGCGATAAAGAACTATACACGGACGACGACGACGACAGGACACGGGTGAAGTTACCGCATTATGCGAGACACTCGGTCAGTAAGCTTCTAACCAACGCGGTCTGTAGCTGGACACTCGAGTTGCCAGAAGTGGCCCCGTACACGCACTACCCTGCGAGGTATCGGTCTGGGACCGTGGTGACCAGACAGTCCAACTTAGATCGAAGATCGCGTTCTCTTCGGTTACTTTCTTCCTTTCGCCGATCCCCGTTCGGGAATCGTCTTCGCCGCGTTCGGCCGCGATCACGCGCCGCGGTAAAAGTGCATCGGAAGTGATTCTAGCGACGTTCCGTACCGGTGATCGAACCTCGACTTGTCCCGTTCCGTTGGATCACAGCCCCCAGCGCCGTGGATCGCGCGATTGCAGAATGTACGGGTGAGTTGCTCCTCAGACGATCCATTGTCTAACGCCTAGAGCTATAGAACCCGTCTGGATCAGTTCAGCTTCTTTATTTCGTAATTAACGACGATTTTGCAGTTTACGGAATGCTTCGTTTACAGTTGTATATATATCTCGTAGATTGATATAACCATGCTCATTGATATTTTCAGACTTTTATTTTTTTAGATTTGTAGAAATATATATATATATATATATATATATATATATATATATATATATATATATATATATATATATGTAAAATAATGTAAAATAAATATAAAATAACATGTTCATGGTATTTTTCGAGACTGATATAAAATGGTTCCAGTGCTCCAGTTTAGTGTTAATTGTCTAAATTGGACAGATACTTTTTGGTCAAGTATTGTATACGTCTATTTTCATAAACGTATTTTGTAACAAACATTCTGCGACGTGTTCGCAAATGCGGTTCTGTTATTTTTAAGAGGCGATACGAACTAGTCGCTTTCAATGCTTCGTAGTTTTTTGGGTTAATCATCTGTGTAATCAGCGGACTGTAGATTATATTGATGTAGAAAATATAAAATTGTCTGTGTCAATTGTATGTGCTGCTCCAACGCAGAATGATAAATCAACGTGTAATATTTTTATCCAAAACTTATATTGTAGGCAAATGTTGTGTGCTTAGTGCACGAATTGATTTTTCGGCGGCCCATTGTTTCAGTTTAATGCTCAACTTAGTACAATGGATAGTTACAGCCTCGTTGTCTGCTACTTAGCATTGCCACAGGATCTTTACTAGCTTATACAGGTATTCGATGCTATCAACGCTTCGATATTCGATTGCTTCGAACTGCAAGCATTCCATTTGCCCATTTCACGCCGAATCAGAATAAGTCTTTGTCTACATTATTTTCTAAATAAAATATCACCTATTCGATTCTCGGAAAAATATTTTACACCTTCGAAAATATTTGAAACAGAATTTTTGGCTGATTTCAATTGTTTCAGCTATTTGGCAGCGATAAATTGTACGTAATTATAAAGTAATTGATTGTACGCTTTGATCCATCAATTTTCTAGCCGTATTACATAGTAAAACACGAATAATAAAGTTAGTAACCGATTAATCGCTAATTATCTTGATGTTGTGTAAAAATCGTCAATGGACAATTTGCCATTGAACGGAGTAGCAGGTAGGACAAGTAATAAATGCCTGGTCACAATGAGAACAACATTCAAATGTTGGACTTAACAACACAATTAAGAATTCAACTATTATAGCCCAATGTTACCGTTGCGGCATTTAAGAACTTAGCTTTAAAGCACTGACGTAAGATATAATTACAACGAACGGTACAATTATTCTGCAGGATCGTTATACTCTCGGTTCACCAATTGCTTCACGCACTCGTAATTCGCCGTTGGTGTAACTATAGTTACGAACCTTAACGGTACTGCCGTCGATGATATAATACCGGATCGTTGTATCAGTTACATTTAATGCAAGATTTTAGAACTGCATAAATAGAAGTCAGATACAGACATTAGTCTAAAACTAATACCATACAATGTTGTTAATGTTATATCCTACAGTTTGCTATAAACATGCTTATAGTTTCCTCTTAATCTCTCTCATAGTACAATGGATAATTTGTTCGCTATAATGTGGCACAGTATCCATGTTAATGTGATTATCACGTTGTTGTGCAAATAATGGTCGAGCTCTTTCGATTTGCGCCTTGCAAAGAATATTTTTCTTATAAACTATACACGCCAAACGTTAGAAAAATGATTTCAGGACAGATGAAGTAGGCAGTTTCAAAAGTAACAGAAAATATGAACAATAAGATTTATTCGACGCATTATTTGTAATATTAAAAATGTAAGTATTCGACTGTTACTTTTGCACCGACCTAATGCATCGTATTTCTTACTATATTTCTTTGGTCGTGCCTTTCTAAATGTTCATAATTAAGAAATTGTATCAGTGTAGGCTTTACGAATGTGTAAAGTTGAACGTTGAATAAGAACATCTAATGCGCATTACTTCTATATCGACATCAATCGTGTAATATTTTTAAAACTAATACAGAATAAACAATGTCTGGTTAATATAAAAATTGTCCAGGCATTAACTTAGGAAATTGTTCTGAAACATTGTATGCTTTTCTGAAGTTGGTACGGCACATGACAATGTGTCGTAATTCTGTTATATTGTGTGGAATACAAGAAACTGTAAAAACTATACCATAATGATACCATGATACCATATACTATATAATGATCGACGCTAAATTGGTAAAGATCTACTGAGCTGTTCAATAATTCAATAAATTCCATCAATTTCCACGTCATTCCAGATTGAATCGTGAGCAAAACCGCAAGGATCTCAGTAGGTGGAAAAAATGACAAATATAAAAATTAAGTGAAAGGTTTCGCCTAGTTATTCGTATCAAGCGGAAAATAGCAATATGAGGAATCGACGGTAAATAAGTAGACCGCGAATCATTATGCAAATTCTCATTTTCATGAATTCTTTTATGAAAATTTGAATTTTTGTAGATTTCTTACACGAACTAGAAAATTCCTTGCAGTGAACGTAGGATAATAATACAATTATATTTTGTTAACGTGGACATTTTATTGCATTTAAAGGCTTCTGCGTACATACAATAAATGCACAAAAATCTGCAGTGTAATAATAAGAATGAACGTAATCCTTAGAAGGTTGTAGGAGTTACAATTAATAGAAAGATCGTAGACTTTATGTCTCACAGGGTCTGACGATTTTAACACTAGATTTACGGAGCACAAAAAAACAGCTGTTTTATATTAGTTTATAAAAGCGACAATAAGACATTTATTCTGATTTTTAACAAGTGTAATTGTAACGTTTGTCGTAAGTAATATATAAATTAAATAAATAACTCATAAATGTATCTTTACGATACGAATAATTGTAAATAAAAAAATTAGTGACCCGCCATTTTGACGGGTTCCGTAAATCTAGTGTTAATAACACGAGAAGTACTTCTGTTGAAAACTTGCTTGTAGCTACCATGTGTATCATGACAATCGTTGGTGAATTAATTTTGCGGAACATCCTAATCCAAGGACGCTACAAACCATATTTATAAGTAGATGGAACGTAAACAAATTTGAGCAACACGATGAAAGTATAGCCGTAACGTATCCAAAGCTTGAGATTGATTTATTTGATTTGTGTTACGATAAACAAATTCCACAACGAAAGAAATTCCCTTTTCGTAGAAATCGCACAAATCATGTGGAAGCCAAGTTCTCCAGTGATTACGAAATCAGATCGAACGCGGATTGCCTGTCGAAAACTCGCGAAATGGATTGTATCTTCTATGGCAAGGGGACGTTCAACATCGAGTAGCCGAGGAAAGTGAAAGGAGAATCCGCGGTAGACGCAACGAGAAAGTAATCCACTTGTGATCTTTTATTCCGATTAGCCTCCCGGCTGTTATCTGAATCGTGTTGCGTTACGCATATCCGCAGCCTGAGAACGTTATCACGTGCCGATTCTATCGGCTTGAGTAATTAACAATTAGCGACGATACGGTTTCGTAACTCACGAATTCGACGCGCATTTTCTCACTTTCACCGATGACAAGCGTCACGAGCTTTTTCCTTAATAACACGGACATAATGTCCGACAAGTGCGATGTTATTGGAGAATCTGCGGAGCCGAGATCGGTGAACGTTGATTGGGGACTTTTTTTCTGGTACACATTTTTACAAGCCAGTGAGGAAATTCAGATCCTCTTACTCTCAATTACTTCCTTCAGCAGTAAAATACTTGTAACTAGAATATTATATATATATTTGCATTGGTAAATGGTACTAGTGCAAGTAAGAGAATGGTAAAGTCTATAAAAATAAAATGAACTTGATTAATACAAGTTTTGCAATATGCTTTGCTTGCTGTCGGCTTTTTATTTAAATATGTGACAAGCATTATGAGAATGATTGTCAAGCAAGAAAATATATGAAATAATGATTTTTGCTATCATTCTTATTCTTCTTGCATTTTTTCGCGTCGCAACAACATCCTGCTTATTAAACCTGCTTGTTAAACTCTGCTTAATTAAACAGTTTTTCATTAATCATTATACACTTCACATGAATGAAGAATTCGTAATTTAACATTTCAAATATATACGTTAAATTGCAAGACAATCGTTAATCCCTTGCCCTATAGTATCGTGCCAGACTCATTACGAAGATTTGGAACATAATCCATTAAATATAAATATTATTCACGTGTAAATATTTAAACATTGAAGTAAAGGTTGACAGACAATAAATATAAATGATTTATCTCACGTATGAATTTTTATTAGAGACAAACAAGACTTAATCAACGTAGCTGTGGAAGAAATTATAACGAAAAGGGTTAAGAATCAAAGAGGAATGCACAATATCTAAGTTAGGAAATGAATGAATTTTCATCCGAAAAGTATATAAGAGTTTTTTATTTGTACAATTGCTAATAGAGAATACGTGTCACGCCATTTTCAATACGTTCAGTGCCGCGTGATACACGTATGGGTGACACTAATTTTTAATTAGGTTTCTGAAATTTAGTTTTATTGTAACATATTGAACAAATTGAATGTTACTAGAATTCGTAGAATACAAAATAGCTGAACTAATATTTCCTATGGTAAATTTTCAGTTTCTAGTTTCGCTTTCATTAATTAAATGACTTTGATATTGTGTGAATTTTTCGAGTTGATATTCGGCATTTAACGTGTTAATTCAAAGCGTTTTAAAGCAATCCATTTATTTTCGATCGCCACTTACCGGTTTGGACGGAGACACATACATATACTAATATCGTTGTGTTGCCCGGCTCGGTGTAATCGACTACCTTCTAGCAGTTGCGGTTTCGTATTTTTTGCGGGCGACTTCTTTTCGAGTTTTCACCTTTCGCCGTCTTCCGGCACGCCAAAACATTTCCTATGTTCCAGTGATCCGATTTCTCACTGTTACGCGGTTAGAATACCGGACCAATTCACGTGATTCATAAGTATCAGCGGTTCAGAAAGGATGGAAAATGAAATCGGTGGATGTAACGGGCATGATCTTTCGTGTGGAAAATTATATGAACTGTTGTGTCGATGAAACCAGTAATAATTAATTAAATTGCGTTATTCTGCATCGAATACTATAATCATGAATATAGAAATACATAAGATCACTCGATACTCAGTCAATTAAGAAAACAATAAACATCAATTACATCAAATTGTTTTAAATCAGATGACAGTTGTATGCAAATAATTTCTGACGAATCAGCAATAACAATTTGAAAAAATTATATTCACTTTTAAACTTCATTTGAACATTTTTGGCATTAGTAATGTTTACAACTGGATTTCCGAAAATTATATATAAATTTTAATTAATTTTGTTTGAATTATTATATTTGTCTATAAATATTGAAAGAATCTTCGTGGTTGTTCAATAATAAATATAAATAATGGATACTTGTATGTAGTCATCAATTTTCTTTTTTAATTTAGTTTCTCTATCGTCGTGTTGTCTAGCTTTCCGCTATCGATGATTTACGTAACAGTGAATATAGTTTAACGCAACATAAATCAAATTTTCACGTTCGTTAATAAAAATTGGAATTCTAAAATCCATCAGAGATAAAAAGAGAAACGATCGACCTAATATTAATCAACTGTGATATGATCAATTTTTTCGTATAGTAAACAAATTGACTATCTGCTATAACCTCGCATACGATACATTTATATAATTAGCGTGATACGTTCCAGCGATTACCTGTTGCACAATTCCAAAATTAATAACATGAGGAAACAAAACGTGACGATATAAGTGGTAAGAATTATCGAGTACAATTTTATTTCACATTATCGAATAAATATTCAATCGAATAAAAATTTATCTAGATAACAATTTATCCAAACGAAAATTCATTTGAATAAGAAGTTATTTTTTATTCGAATAAGAATTTATTCGTACAGAAATTAATTTGGAAAATCGATTTAAATAAAAATTCTAGAATATAGTGTTTGTCACAATTTTACAATATTTACTCGAATAATTTGTTCGAATGAAAAGTGAAAAATTATTCGAATAAATAGATAAATTTGTTACGAATAATGAGTTATTGTTACTCGAATAGAAAGGATTTCTTCGAATAATTATTTTAGACAAATATTTATACTCGAAACAATTCGAATAATTCCCGATTCCGGGTTGAAGATACGTCCGAACAAAAGGGGTAATTCGCCGACGAAGTGATCAAGATCAAGTCCGCCTTGAATTTTATCACGAAGAATATACATATGTACATGCGTTTACAGTATAAACTGTATATAAATGCACGTTCTTTTGTCAACGCATGAATAAGTCAGAGTGAAACTAAATTGCAAAACGCGAAATAACTTCTCGCCCTGCGGGTATAACAATGAAGCGGCCATAAAAACATCCGATGCATGCGCGTGACTCCGAGCACGTGACTCGAAATGTCTCGATCGTTTCATTTTCCAGCGGATACACCGAACGTTGCAAGACTCGCAGAAATTAAGTGAAAGTTACCAAATGTATACTGATCACCAAAATCGTATTTTGTGAATTCATTCGTTATCACACTAGATTGCACATTTTCTATACATTTATGATATTTGAACATTTATCCAATTGCTAGAAAACGCGCATATTAACAAATATTAATGACATTGCTGTCTTGTTTTCTGCGCAAGGAATTTTCTAGGTGGTAAATTGAATTTGTATCTACGCAAATTGAGATTCTCAAAATACCTAAGCTGGTTCCAACAAAAAAAAACTGGAACCAGATAGAAATTGTTTTCTTCTTAGTCATTTTAGTCAGTCGAAAATAATATGTGGACATTCTTGAATTCTTTTTATCTGTTGTTTCAAATTTCACGTACACGTTTCGAAATATGTATATAAAATTCGTAGCCCAGTTATTACATATTAATTAGACTGCGAACCTTTATGCAAATCACTATTTTCATATTCACTTTTAAGTTTATTTCACATTTACCGCAGATACGAAACGATTCACCGTGGTTACAAGGATAAACCGTTTTGTAATGTAACTTTCGATTGTGTCTTCTTAGTGACCACAGAATTGTACTAATGAATACATAGTAATGAAATATTAATGTATTAATGGAAATCGTTGGGAGTTTTGAAATTCAGAAGAATATGACTTTGAGCAAAAAGGTCTTCTCATAAATAAACAAATATAAATATATTTTAGAACCTAATAAATCCAAAGATTCTTACACATTTTGATTCAATGCTTCTCATAAGTATCGGGCATCGAACGGCAAATTACATGGAGCGACTTGCCGAGGCCATTCCCACAACTTCTCTCACCCCCGAGCTTCCATGTAACAATGATTTAAAGTGCACTCTTGTTATGATACCGTCGCGAGGGCATAGTGGAGCTGATCATCGCCTAGTCATTAGATGATTCTCGCTGGGGAGCGTAATTATCGATACCCGTAATAGGCCTAATGCGCATAGTGAAGTAGTTATTTTCCACTTCGTTCCGATATCGCCGCGCCAGCTTCGTTTGTTGACCGAGAGAATGTGCACCTTGAAGCGAGGTTGAACGCTGAAACCGATCGAGTGCCGGTTTATAATCGTACTGTTATTCGCAAGAATATTTTCCCGTTCGTTCACAGGGAAAATGATATACATACATAGATAGGTGTACGAGTCTCTCTGCTGCGGCATGTTCCAATGGTCGTTCGGCCGTTCACCTTTATTTTAAGCCGCGACAATTACCGATCGGGCTTGGATATTCGCTGATCGAGTGTTGAACGTGTCCGAGACCAAGACCGGATGAAATTACAATTTGTCTCATTAGCGATCGATTGTCGTTTAAATCTGCCTATTTATAGAGATTAGTCTGTTAGGTGCGAGAACGATGTACAAACGAGTAGGTTAGAATTACAGTGGAGTTAAGTGTCACATTTTCGAAAATCTTCACTGACGTCTTAAAATGTAATCTGCCGAAATGTTAAAAAGCAAGCGAAATAAATTATAAAGTTACTTTACACTAACTTAATTCTAAATTGTCTTATTAATCAATTTGGCCAGTAAACAATAGACATGTTAGTTAACAATAACACTCCTTGATTTTTACAATGAGGAAAATGTGACTTACGCGCCACTGTGATTCTAACCCAAAGATTCGAAGAGATTCCTTCCGAACGCATATCTAACAAATTCTTTCCCGTCATACCTACGCTCAAAGAGGTTCCTACTGAACCACAGAATATATTAAAAACAAAAATTAACGAGTCTTGTAAAATTCTCCCACTCCGGGCAAGAACCCATCAAGTTTTTGGGAAACTCTCCCGTTGAGAGAATGGACATTAAATATTATATATATAATATTTATTATAATATAAATTAATAATATTATAATAATATAATATTATAATATAAAAGAAACATTAAATATTTCTTGTTGCAGCAATCAACAATAGGATAACAAGTTTAGATTGATTTACTTTTGGAAGAAATCAAAACGAGGAAGCATAACGTTTTCAAATAAATTTTCAGTTTCACCATTACCCATTCGAATGAGTTGCGTAATATCTCGAGAGTTGGCCGTTGGCAGTACGCTTAATGAAACCTTCAAATTTCACGGCGTGCTTTTGAACTACCTCCAAGCCGAAACTCTCGATCTACCATACGTATCGACTTATCTTGATGAACAATGTGTTCACGGGTGCGCAGGAGGATGCGAATGAAAGCAAGCGCGCTCACCGCGTTCTACATATCAATCAGATAAGAAAGGCGATGGACATTTGAAACGATTTCAGTTTCTTTTTTCCATTCCGTGTTTCTCTGGTCACCTTGCGCATTCTGCACACCGCTCACGGCTGAAACGCACCAAGAAAACCGGTCACAGGTTCGGTTTCATAAGTCCTATCGAACCGAGTTCTTTCCGTCAATGACTTCGATCCAGATTTAATCGATACGATTTAAGGAATACTCCGTGAAACATGGAAAAACATCGCGATGCAATTTTCATACATTCTTGTCATTGACTTTGAGCATTCGTGATCGACTGCACCTGCGTGAAATATTCTAGATAGGTCCGAATGAGATCGTATCGGAATTATAGTTAGTAGAGTCTAACAGCACTGACTATTTTATGCATATCGTTCTATTTATTCGGATCTTTAAAGATTAAATTGAATATTTTTGAATAAAATAGTTTATCGAATAAACTTCTCATAAATGCACCTTTAGGACTTTCAGGATCAATGATCTTCTTTCTTAATGCACGTTATTGGAAAGTACATCTATTGCACAACTTGCAGTAATTTTGTTATATTGTTGACGTAGCATATAGCGAAATTAACAGAACTCTCTCCTCTATTATACTTTGAAAATCCTCTGCAGAGATTGATAATAAGATTCTAAATGCAACTACCTGTTTCTCCTACACGAGAGAATAATGCGTGTTCCGATATAATGAACGAGTGTGAAAGACACTCATCAAATGCTATTCAATTGAACTGTGAGAATTTCGGTTCACGGACGGAAGTTGGGAGTGAGAAAAAGTACGCGCTTAGCGTAAGATTCAAGGGATCAGTGAACCGATTGTGAGAAAAGATCTAGAAGTTTGTTGAACCGAGAAATTGATCCGACACGATCGGACGAAAGTAATTCGCGACAGCTACACGGGACTAAAAGTAGTATCGCCACTATCCAATATTCTGGCACCATCGACCCGCGATATCTCGATGGGAAGGAAAGATAATCGTTCCTATTATAATGTTGCAGATCCACGATAGGGCGGATACGATCCGTGATAATCAGGTTGCTGCTGCTACTGGTCACGTGGAAATGCAACGGACTGCAGTATCAGCCGATCGAGGCTTATGCAAACGGCGATGACTGCGCCCTGGTCCTCAATGGACCAGGAAGAAGCACTCCCTACGATTACACGTACAACCTACTTCGCGGCTCCTTGTAAGTAAACACACTATACTCGATTAGCTTACTCGACACTTTTAGCGCCACCGTCGGTCGCGTGTTACTGACGCAACTTCTTTTGTCGAATTTCAATATTTATTTGTGTTCCAATCATTTTGTCACAGTAGGTGAAACTTTACTAGGATCTAGGAGATGTAACAGGGTTACAACAAGCAACTGCGATAACAAATTGTGTCTTTTCTACTCGTATATTGTTAAACAAGTTGTTTTGGTTTTCTGTGTCTCGGATGGACATTGGCGTGGCTGTTAACGTGTTGATGACCCTTTGTGATTCTGTGTCGAGCCAGACTCAACATTGAGAACCAAAATTACTTATTTTGCTGAATTACACGATGTTCGTGAATAATGCCAAAATTACGTGGTTTGAACAATTGTTCAATATAGGTTACAAGGTCACATATGCCAATATGATTGAGTTATATAAAGCCATGCCAAACGAAGAAATAAAAGGATGGAAACACTTTGCACCGCGATGGATTAAATGGGCGTGTAGTAGAAGAGCGTATGTTACAAATTTAACGAAAATGGATCTTTTTGCGAGAAGAGTGGCATTGGGATGTAAAAGTCACTTTACCAAAGCTTTCAGTGCTCGACGATGGCACTAGAAAGCAAAGTGAGCAGTGACGAAAAAGTGGAAGAATGGAATATGTTATAAAAACTCTTGTCGCGTCTTAGTGGTTCGGTTTCAGTTCTATCACTTTGCGTCAATTTGATTGGTGCTATTTATGTATACCTTTTCATTGTTCAACTTTTGTCAGATACATTTTTCTGTATTATTTCAACTCTATTATTTAGTAAAACCGCAACAATCGTTATTTATCGTCGAGTCAACCGGTGGAACGTGTTTCATCTCGATCTACGCGGATCAATTCGATAGTAACGTACACGGTGTAGTCAGACATTTTATAAGACATCGCACTAAAGAAAAACGAAAAATACCAAATCGAAGCATAACATTACGTAACCGAGGCAAGATCTCCGTCGACATTTTCGAAGTATAGAGAAAGCAGGAACTCTGATCAGGAACGGCAATCAGAACTTTCACTATCCATCTAACCTTTGTTCCTGCGACACTCGCTTTGAGAAGTAGGGTCATTTTTTTGCACGGGCGTTCCTTAACAGGGCTGGACAATCGAACGCGTTTATTGGATGACATTAGATCGGAGATTGTGAAATATTCTCACAAGCGAGGGACTCGGAGTCACGTCATACTAAGCATGAAAACTGAGACGGTTAAAGGCGGGTGTTCATCTGAGAGTAAAACACTCAACAGGCTCTATACAGGATGTCCCAAAAATGTCTCGCAATCCGGAAATTGCTGGTTCCTGAGGTTATTCGAAGTAACTTTTTGCTTTGCGAAAATACAATCCGCGGCTTTGTCTCCGAATTATTAAAAAAAAAACCGTGACCAACGGGAGACGATATCAGCTGGCGCGAGGCGGCAGGTCCAATGTGCGGAACTCGTCCGCTCGTTGGCTCGACCGCCATTGGCCTCTCATTGGCCAGTGTTTTTCGTTAATAACTCGTAAACAAAGCCACGCATTGCATTTTCGCTAAGGAAAAAGTTACTTCAAATGACCTCAGGAACCCCCCCCCCCCATTTCCGGATTATGAGATATTTTGGGACATCCCTTTACCTCTGTGTTGTGGAGTCTCGTAGCTAGAGCCGTATTGGGACCACTGCCAGATAGCTACTCTCACTGTACGAAACCGATTCGTTTCGTGAGAGTAATTATCTGACAGTGATTCTGATACTAACTATGTATAGAGCAACTGTCGAGAGTTTTACTCTCAGATGGACACCCGCTTTAAGTCTTTTGAAACTTTGCTGTAGAAAAATAGTGGTGTGTAGGAAGGTATGAAACGATGCATCTATTAACAAGCATTATATACGTGAAATATTACTACACCAGTTGAAGCTTTAGATAATAAAGAATTTCTGAATCTGCGGAAAAAGATTCGACTTACATTGATTTGTTTCCGAGCCCTCCACAGTGGAAACTGTGAAAACTGTGACGGTCCTGATCTAATATACATTAATGACAACATCAAATTCATCTTGAAATTGTATAATGCTAATAAAAATATTAGATCAAACAAATTAAATTTCTATCAACAGAATTATTTCTACAAATTGATCCACGGAACATGATCAGTTTAAATTATTCTATTGTTTGAAATTCTTGTTATCTAATGTAACATAGTTCAAAGAGAACATCTAAGTGATTACAGTAAATTTTGTATCAACTCCTTGCTTTCAAAGCTTTCTCATCAGTTTTCTTTTATAGATAGACCAATAATTTCTTTATACTTGTTTCTGATCAGATATTGAAATTCAAATATAGGACAAGAGAATCAAATTACAGTGGCTAACTCAACCAGGCTTGTGGATTAATTAATATGAAATTTTTTCGGACGACCATGCTACTAATAATGAACAGTAAATCGTGCGCATTCTTATCCGCATTCTTCTGATCAATCTCAATCGTTTGAGTGTTCAAAAGGCAAACCTAGAAATAAACTTCCTTGGTAGCCGTATATTTCCGCAACACGCCAGGGACATTGTACCTACGTCCAATGATAATTTATCATCGCTGAATAAATGTGCATCTGAATAACGGGTCGTGAGAACGTTTGTATAATGAGAACGCGCCGCTGGAAAACCAGATCTCCTTTTGTTTATCACCGCGGATAAAACAATGGGGAACTGTTGTAATACTTGAGTTCAAAACCTTGAAACAAATCGCGGCGTTACGTTTCTTATCGTTATAAGCGATGCGCTAAATGTTTCAAAGCGGTACATCCTCTTTTTTGGAGACTAAAAAGTTTTTAAAAAATGTTGCTCTTTAGAATACAATAAATTCTCTTTAATCGTCCCTCAATTTCTACCCAGTAGTGGACAATTTGGGAAAAGGAGATACGATAATTCGAGCCTCGAAACTCGTTTTTATAGTTGTTAACAATCGGTGACTACAAAAACGAGCCGCGAGGTTCGAATAATCGTGTCTCCTCTTCCCAAATTGTCCATTTTTATTTACGTACTGAGGGACAATTGGAGAGAATTTATTGTATCACCAATATTTTCTTTCTGAACTGTAATATTACGATTTATTTTTTGCGAAAAACCAATCAGCTGATTCTACGAAATTTATTAAAACAAATCGGATAGGTATTTTTATATTGGAGAATACCATCAGATTCTCGAAAAAATTTTAGAATCTGACCTCCATACGAATTGTACCTAAAGCTAGATCTAATTTTCTAATAATTTTGTGTTATTATATGAACCTTGCACGCGTATGAATATTGTTTTCTTTTAATTAGACTGCAGGCCCTGTCAATTACATTTAGACAGTTCAGTGATAATCCTACAAAATTATAATTTTAATAATTATTAATTTTATAAGCTTGAACGGTACAATAATATACGGCATATTTCCTGCATTAATCTTGGCAACTATAATAACATGCAAATTTTCCGATAACATGTACAATACGTACGAAGGATATCTATGAATTATTCATTAGTTGGTAATAAACGATAAGAACAATTTTATCTCGGAGTTATTCACTTTCATTCCAGCAAGTGTTTGAACGGTTCTTGGAATGTCAGTGTTCTGTTAAAGAGGAATTAAATTCATACGTATCAACATGAGTGATCATATGAGCTAGTATATCTCAATCATTAAACGTTAAATCAAACACTTTTTGCAATTAACGTGTAGGATTTTTTTCAGTACCAAATACAGTACAGTGTCCGACGAAAGTATTGATACGATGAGGAAGTTATAGTTTTTGATGTAACTTCTTTTAGCGATGTTAACAGAAAGATGTTCGTAGTGAAAGCGATGCAACAGTATTTTTAAATCATTCTTCTTCCCTCGCTGCTCTATTTCATTTGCATACAAAATTTTTTATTTCTATACGAAATTTTATAATTGTATAAACAATTTTAATTTACCTCTTGTCGTATAATTTGTTTCACAGCTACCATCATCGGATTTTCGTTGTTAATATTCTAGAAAAAAGAAAAAAAGAAAATTTATACTCACTGGTATTCGTGTCTACATTTATTTTACTGCTCAAGCATTCATAGCAAAAGAAATAAAGTTGTGTTTCGATATATGTAAATAGACACAAATAAGACTTGGCAGATTCGTAGATTCTGATTGAAATTACGAGTTAGGCTGGTTTTTGTCTGGCAAGCGGTTAAGAGACTAATATAAAAACTCTTTTACGAAGTCAATAAAAGGATAAAAAATTGTATTGAATATAGTTGAACAAAACAGTCCTCGACAACGGTATCTAAAAACGCGAATGAAATAAATGAAGTCGTGCTTGAACAGGATGATTTGAAGTCCGATAAAATTCTTGATGTTTTCGAAACGGCTTCAGGTGCAAAGCATTAATCTACTTGGTCAGAAGATCCAGATTTGCCGAGACAAGGCATACTTCTTCCAGTCAATAACAAAGCAAAACACGATTGCACAGTTTTTCGCAATTACACGATTCTAACAGGCTACGTGTGCACCTAAATACTTGTATTGTTGCCCGTTGGCGAAGTCGAACGTATGTTCTTGTCAGCAGTCCGTGAAGTCACGATTAAGCTTATAATCGCCTGGAAGATAAGGAGGAAAAAGGAAACCGTCACGGTTAGTCGTGATCCATTTGCCGCGTGAAGCCGGTAAAATGCAAATGATACAGCCGGGATTAATGGAAGTGCAACGATCATCGACAATTTCGGAAACCGAGCCGCTACGCTAAGATAACTGGATAATTACGCGTGATAATACGCTCGATAATAATAGTGGCTAATAAAAGGTCCACCTCGTAATCGAGTTTTTCCTTCTTTTAACTGATCCCTCTGTCGAAAGGCAAACGTTTCGAATGAATTTTTAATGTGAAGGATAGATAATATTGGGTTGTTGCTCACGAAATTACCCACCCCGCGTAGCATGAATGCTTCTCGCTTTGGCATGAGCATGCGATGCCAACATCGATTTTCAGAAGCGATCTACAGTGTGTGTCATAAATATACCGATCCAATCAGTATTTAAATATTTTGGTAATTTCATATTAGATTTCATTTTAGATTTAGAGGACCTTGAATATCTCACAAACACATTTTATAATTATTTTATTTTATTTTATAATTATCTGGTTGGATATCGCGTGCATAATTACTATTCGAAAACGGTAAACATCGATAAGAAAACATGACCAATTTGCTAATACCTTGCAAATATTGCAAAATATATGTTTTTATGGATATCTCAAAGAGCGTACTTTATTTGAACAAAAAATAATTTACAGGACAGAATCTGTTGCAATGTGATTTCTTTAGCCTTCGGACTTTCGTCTAATTAAATATATGTTAACAAGTATCACTGTAAAGTCAATTTTGTATTTCTGGATCAGAAATTGTTGATTACACTCGAATAGTAACTTGTAAGAAGCAAACATGATTTAGGTGTAGAAAACTAGCCCAAGAAATTCGCTAGGATAATAAAAATCTACGTAGAATAATAAACTATTCAGCATATCGTTTGCTAATGATTTCACTGTTAACATAAAACGAGGGCACGAAGGAAAATGAATAAAAGTAGGACAAAATATAATGGTATACGCCACAGAATGCATCGAGACGAAATAAGTGACCCCACGCGTTATACACATTGCGTTTCTAATCACAGTGAAAGCCAGATCAACGTGCATTTATGCAGCTAAAGTGCACTTCACATATTTTCGCAACTAGCCTAGCGAGCCGGCCAAAGAATTTCCCATGGAATTTCTATATTCACGGTATGTTGGCCGTGATAAATTGCGCGCGAGCTTAGCGAATACACAACAATCGAAATTTCATCGAATTCACATAGAATCGTATTAATGGCGCCGTGTTGAAAATGTAACGGGAGTATCTGTTTTACAGAGGAGCAACAAACTCTCGAATTTATATTTATGCTGGAAGCGTGTAAAAAAAATGTCTAGTCGTCGACACTACCGTTACAATACAACCTTGTATATATGTATATCAATGGTTTGTCAGCTGATACTGAATGAAACGGGAAATCTATAGCTTATGCAATTAGCGAACAGATCAAGTTTCTCGCTGCAGCAACGTTTGTAACGAGCACTATGCAGGATAGCGTTAATTTTTACTTGTCGTATGTGATTCGTTCGAGATGTAGCTATTATTCTGAAACCCGTGAAATCGATAATTTAACATGTATAGTTCTACCAGGTCTTGGAACTGTTCAGATAATACAATTGAAAAATGAAGATTAATCGTGAATAAATAGCATGTTGTATAAATCGTTTTTGTAATTGCAAATGACGTGGACCATCTCCCTACGAACTTAATCATTTATGTTTCTATCGTATTGAGTTCTTATTCTCGTTAATTTGATACGACAGGGTAGATTGAATTGCAGAAATAAGGGATAGATGAAAGTTATGGTAACACGTATAATTTCAAGTACTTTTACTTCAAAACAATTTACATTGTAAGTAATGAGTATAAGTATTTTAATTTCATTTAATAAAAAAAAAATCTGAAAAGAAGTCCTACAAAAGACCACTCCAGATTTTTTCTTATTAGCTTTCTATATCCCAGTACTTTCAAATCTGAACGAAACGTCTACAATATGAAAAGGATTAAAAGAATATATTTTAGATCGTCGTCTTCTCGCGCGTTGAAACGTGTGTAAAATGAATAGGATTAGACATTGTATACCTAATATCATTAGACTGCCTATTCATTACACAAAAATTCTTGAATCAGAAAGGGAACATGGAATAAAAAAAAATATCCTAATAAAATGAAACGATACTTGAAAAATATAAATGACGCAGTATAAAGTTATATAATATTATAGAGGATTGATCCATCAGAAATCTTACGGATTGAATGGAACTGTTACCACACCTTCATAGTCGAATATTTGCCACAATACACAAGAAAACAAAATATAGTAAATTCTCCCTAATTGACGCTCAGCTTGGAAACAAATATGGACAATTTGGGAAGAGGAGTTGTTAGTTTATAGTTGTTATAGTTATGGTTTTATAGTTGTTAACAATCGGTAACTATAAAAACGAGCCGGAAGACTCGAATAGTCGTATCTCCTCTTCCCAAATTGTTCATTTTGAGAGCGTCAATTAGAGAGAATTTACTGTAATTTGAATACCTCCACTGCACGACTATCCTCATTTACGTAACCTGTATGTCATTAAAAGTGTCGTTGCGAATTTACAATTGCGAATAGATTCCAGCTACTTCGAAATTGCCCTCAGTTGATTTTGTCACGTTGCTCGCAATCGTGTAAGAGGCTTTAAAGGGAAACCTGTTTTAAACGCGACTTTTCCACGTAAGGTTCCAGCCAATCGAACGGAATAAATACGCACTAACTCTAACGACGCTAATACACACATGACTAGCTTCTTATCCACTTTTTTTTTCATAGTTTTCAAATGATTTCATTATTTTTAACATGGTACAGGTATTAGCATTCAAAAGATTATCAATCGATGTGTCAAACATTTCTTCAGGTACTCAAGGAAACTGGTATTACTAGGTATTACGTAACGTAGTTTATAATTAAAGTTGCGAAGTTTATCTTATATTTTAAACTGAATTTATTTAATATAACTAGTATGATTATATGTAATAATATAATCAACAAACATCCAGTTTCTCAAAATTGTTTATGTTAACCTATACAGGATATGGCACATCTAAATAAATACAGTTTCTTCTTCGTTATAAACGAATACGTGTCTTAGAGCTTTGTAAGTCTAGTGTTAAAGGAGAAATTAAGAATATGTAAGTAGCCCTAAAGCGACAAGCTTATGGCTGATCGTCCGTGGCAAAGCCTCGACGAGGAAATGCCCCGGCTAATTCAAAAGCAAGCCGGCAAGGAGACAAAACCGCCGGGTCAACCTTCAAAGGTAAAAGCCACGAGCGGCACGTCAATGCCAGTATATTTCGTTCCGAGAAACAAGATATGTCAATTCATGTGCTCTCGCTGGTGCGCAAGCCACGGTTCGTATGATAGTTTCGGGTTACCTTGATACAGAATATCCGAGAGCGTAGAGAGACGGTAAATGCGTGGCTCGCGAACGTACGACAGAGCCTGGCTTCACACGAAAGTAGGCTACAGGGTTAGGTAATTAACTCGACAAGAAAAAATGCGAAGGAGAGACAGTTGGGTGGGAGGGGGATGGGCAGGGGGTAGAGGAAAGGGAACGGAGGCTGTAAATAATATGTCCGTATTCGAAGATCGGGAGCACGTGTTAACTTTCATTCTCGTTTTTTCACGTTTCAGCCCGCCGACCGGCGGATCGCAGACGTGCATCACTTACGACGCTGTTAATCGCGCCTACGTAGAAGCTAGGAAACGCATCAGTAAGTATAGTATGATACGAGCTTCTTCGCCGGATCTGTTATCTCCGCTACACAGAAAGTAGAATGAACTGATTGAAGACGTTGTTTTTCAAAATTCTATTATAAGATGTGTTTTCGCAGGTGTAGCTCCAACAACATGCGAAACACAAAAGATAACATGTTAACATGTAACATGTAACATCTAACACATAAGATAGTATGTTCCTGGAGTAATCGTTATTATTGTTACAATTTCTGCATAACCGAGCAAGTTAATCGGCGAATATTTATGTTGATTTCCAATAAACGGCCAACAAGTCCAGAAAAGTAGATTAAACATCAAAAATTATGGATAGACTGCGGATTTTATGCATTTATGACAACAATTATTAGATGTAAGTTAAAACAATAAGAAGAATAAAAGAGTTTAAGAGTGTGGATGTATTAAATTGATCCTAGTAGAATTATTTAAGAAGGAAGTTATATATGATTGTTACATATGACCTTTTTTGTTTATTAAAATTCATAGAGACAAGTTTTATTTTGCATAAAGTTCCGCAGCCTAGTTATAAATCAATCAAGTACTTTAGTACGTGAAAAAATTCACCCGATGGAGTTGGGACCATCGTTCAGGTATTAAATAGGGGATGCCTCATTTTGCATATTTCTGTGTTTCTTGCAGATACACAGTTTGTTAAAAACTAGTTCCGATTAAGTACATATCTACATATACTAGAATATACTCAAAGTGTCGTCATTATAGATCGTAACAACTATACTTTCGTCTTTGTACGATCAGTTACTGTGATTACATATGTATAGTAAGTGTATCACGATAAAATAGTTCATATAATATTATAGTATAAAGTTCATATGGGTTATTGCACGCCAAGTGATTCGGATTTTTATGTAACACGTTCCTTGATATTGTTTAAACATTAGGTCTACTACTGTTTTTTCACGTTTTCCCGGTGAGATCGAACAGTGAACCGATTCAATCGTGTGTGACACCGAGTCTGCGCGATTCCCTATGACTCTTTCGAGTGATACGGATGATAAGTTGATAAAGAATGGTTTTAACACTGGCTGATATCAATAACACTATATTTTAACACAACATAACAATTTTTAACGCTAGGGTGACTAACTGTACTTGGCTTAGAATGAATTGAGTTGACAGTGAGACTATCGACGGAGTGTTGACCGAAGTCTTTACGCGTTGGTGTCTGGTTAGTATCTGTCCGTTCGTTGTCTATTTTGTCTTTTAAGAAGATTCGTTAGGGGTGTGAAGTTTTTAATGAGACACTCGGATTCAATGTTTTTTTAAGTTTTCCGGATCTAAAAGGTGAAGCGGTCGTTTTGAGTGATTGGTCAAAAAATTGTGAGCAAGGGAAAAGGTGA